CTTTTCTTTTCTTTTCTTTTCTTTTCTTTTCTTTTCTTTTCTTTTCTCTTCTTTTCTTTTCTCTTCTTTTCTTTCTTTCTTTTTTCCTCTCTCTCTGTCTCTCTCTTTCATCCCTTTCTCCCTTTTTTCCTTCGAGAGCTGGTGAGTCAGCTGGGGGGAGGGGGGGGCGCGGGGAAGGGGGAAGGGCAGAGGGAGATGGACAATCATAAGCAGGATCCAGGCCCAGGGCAGAGCCCTGGAGGGGCTCTATCTCACCCCCGTGAGATCATGAGATCATGGCCTGAGCTGAAATCAAGAGCCCCAGGCTTAACGGACTGAGGCATGCAGGCGCCCCTCATTCCTTTTTTAATGAAGTCCTGGTTTTGGGTTGCCTGGCTGGCTTAGTCAATGGAATGTGGAACTGTTCTCGCCAGTTCATGCCCCACTTTAGGTGTACAGCTTACTTTAAAAAAAAAAAAAAAAAGTCCCGCGTTTGCCTCTAGATAAGTTCGGCTCCAAGAAAAAGGTCAAGGTGCTTGGGGCAAGTGGGATTCAACTTTCATGCCTAGTTGTGATCCTAGGGATGTCCTTTCTCCAGTACTGAGCCACTGGGCTGCTGCTGGGAAGGGTGGAGGAGGTTGTGAAAACTGGACAGCCTGTGAGGGACCTATGTAGATGATGTTCACCTCTTAGGTAGGTGTTATTTTTTTTTTTCTCAGGAGGCCATGTCTGCAGAATTGATTTCATCTGCAGAAGAGGATGTACATCCTGGCTCAGGACCCAGTTTTAGGTCCAGTCAGAGGAAGATATTAAACCTGCTCTTGGAGAGAGACACTTCCTTTACCACCTGTCCAGATCTCCCTAGAACTCCAGTGAACAAACTCTTTGGCGATTCTGCAAACCTAAGTGTTTTGTCTGGGTAAATCCACCTTTTACATCTTATCTCCTTTGCTTTTCCAAATAGCCTTGGGATTTTTATTTATTTATTTTTTTTAAAGTTTATTTATATTTGAGAGAGACTGAGCAACTGGGAGAAGGGCAGAGAGAGAGGGGGACAGAGGATCTGAAGCCGGCACAAGCTGATAGAAGCAAGCCTGATGTGGGGCTCGAACTCACCAGCTTTGACATCATGACCTGAGCTAAAGCTAGTTGCTCAACCGACTGAGCCACCCAGGTGCCCCAATTTATTTGTTTGTTTGTTTATTTATCGTAAAAGTTTATTTATTTTGATAGAAAGAGAGAGTATGAGCAGGGGAGGAGCAGAGAGAGAAAATCCCAAACAGGCTCTGTGATGTCAGTGCAGAGCCCCATGCAGGGCTGGAACTCACAAACCGTGAGATCATGAAGTGAGAGTTGGGGGCTTAACCATCTGAGCCACCCAGGCACAGCCTTGGGGTTTTTAAAAAATTATCTTGGCTCCTGCTTCAGATTCTGTGTCTCCCTCTCTCCATATCCCTCCCCCACACTCTCACTCTCTCTCTCTCTCTCTCTCTCTCTCTCTCTCTCTCTCAAAAATAAATAAACATTAAAAAAAAAAGTGGGGAGGAGGCACTTGGGTGGCTCAGTCAGTTAAGTGTCTGACTTTGACTCAGGTCATGATCTCAAGGTTTGTGGGTGCTGACAGCTCAGAGCCTGGAGCCTGCTTCTCATTCTGTGTCTCCCTCTCTCTCTGCCCCTCTCTCTCTTTTTCAAAAATGAGTAAATATTAAAAAAACATTTTTAAAAAATTATTGTGGCTCAAAGATCAGGGTTTAAGTTTTAAACCCTGCCCTTCAGTAACAGTGTGACTCTTGACCCTCAGGCTTCTTTTCTGTGACATAGAAATAATAATCTCTTCCTATCTTACTAGGATCTTATGAGAATTAAATGATGTAATGTCTGGGAGAAGTCTTTGAAAACTCTATTGTGTTATAGGAGTAGGTATTTTTATTTGTATTAATATTAGTGTTATTATTATTGTACTTTAAATTCTGGTCACGCCATGCTCTGATGCCTCAGCTAGTTGGAGAGTTATAGACCTGAGAAGTACTAGAGACTCCAGGGAGAAACTAAATCTATGTACCCACAGTGCATAGGGCAAAAGATGTGGGGTCAAGACCCACCTCAGCCAATAATTTTGGTCCTCAATTTGAAAAAAAATTACTTGTCTCAATATGTTGGTGAGGAGGAAATGAGATGCAAATTATTGGAGTAGAGAAAAGGTTCCTGAGGGGTGTTTCAGATGAAGAGGATAATGTGATCTTTGCCTTTCAAGGTTATTACAACTTAATGGGAATCTTGCTGTACTATTATGTCTCAACAGAGGAACCCCAAAATGTTGCCTTGATCTTTCCAATCTTAGCAGTGGTGGGGAGATGTCTGCCAGTCAGCTTACCACTTCTGCAGACCTTGATGAAACAGGTAAGGAGAAGGGAGGTAAAGGCCTCAAGGAAAAGAATAACTTCTAAGGGAGAAAACAGGGTAGTCAGATAGAGATGGAAGGTGGTAAAATTAGGTAGAGGGGCGCCTGGGTAGCTCAGTCAGTTAAGCCCATCCGACTTCGGTTCAGGTCATGATCTCATGGTTCTTGAGTTCGAACCCCACATCGGGCTCTGTGCTGGCAGCTCAGAGCCTGGATCCTGCTTTAGATTCTGTGTCTCCCTCTCTGTCTGCCCCTACCTTGCTCACACTCTGACCCTCTCTCTCTCTCTCTCTCTCTCTCTCTCAAATATAAATAAACATTAAAAAAAAATTTTTTTTAACGGAGGTAAAGATCCTTGAAGTTGAAATTCTGTGGGTACCTAGGGAATTTTTGAGAATGATAAGCCAAGAAGAGAAATGTAATAACATAAATAGGAGTCATTTTGCATTTGAAAAATTTAGACAAGAAGGAATATTTTGTTAACTGATTGATGATGGGAATGAAAGTAGTAGTTAAAATGGGAAGTTTTATGCTCTAGTATAATCTCAGCAAAGGCAAAGAAACATAAAGAAATACTTTGTTAACTAATTCTTGTGGTTTTGTAGGGCCTGAGCCCAAAAGGAGTATGTTTTACTAGTCAATAATTTTTTTTAATGTTTGTTTATTTTTGAGAGGGAGAGAGAATGAGCAGTCACCAGCTGGGGAAGGGCAGAGAGAGAGTGAGCGAGACAGAGGATCCAAAGAAGGCTCTGTGCTGACAGAAGAGAGCCTGATGTGGGACTCAAACCCACAAACTGTGAGATCATGAGCTGAACCAAAGTCCAACACTTAACTGACTGAGCCATGCAGGTGCCCCACTAGTCGATCTTTTTTTTTTAAGTTTATTTTTATTTATTTTGAGACAGATAGAGAGCAAGCAGGAGAGGGGCAGAGAGATAAGGAGACAGAAAATCCCAAGCAGGCTCCACGCTGTCAGCGCAGAGCCTGATTCAGGCTCAAACTAAAAAACCATGAGATCATGACCTGGGCCTAAGTCAAGAGTTGGACACTTAACTGACTGAGCCACCAAGGCACCCCACTAGTCGGCCATTTTAGTATTTGTTCTATTTTCAGAATAAATGGTCTATTTCCTGAGTAGTCAGCATTATTTCCTACCCATGAAAAAAATCTCTGTTCATTATTGTCCTGCAGTATTTCCTGCATAAATTCTTAAGTAACATATATAAATTCTTAAGTTTTCATGCACTTGTACCTTGTACCATAAAATTGGTACCTATCAGGAGCCCAAGCATTCAAAACATCAGCTTTTGAAATTAATGTGGCTTACTGGCAATGAAAAAAATGAGAAGGAAAGACAGGATGTGTGGACAAGATTAACTCTTCACATTTGATTGCAGGCCACTTGGAATCTAAAGGACCTCAGGACATACATTTAGCTGGGATGTAAGTTCTTTTGCTAAATGAACCCCATGCTGAAGCCTTTTCAGCTCTGGCACAGGAATTTTATCCTGTGCAATCTCTGCAGTATGTAGAACCTTTTACTTTGGGTATAAGTTGGCTTGAAAGCCTCAGTCCCTCACTGGAAAGATTTTTTAAGTTGCTCAGATCTAAATAGTTCATTTTAACCATTCCATACAACCCGTATTATCTTTAAAAATGAAGGAAAGGGTATATTGCGTTTAGGCCTAAGCTGTTTCCTGCATGTGAATAGTGCAGTGTTAGAGCATCTGGATTCCAGTGGCTTACTATTTCACCAACTGTGATTCTGAAGATTTTCTTAACTTCACTGGACCTCAATTTCTTCATTTGTAATAAATAACAATAGACATAATAATAATACTTTTCATAACTGCTCTTGTAAGGATGGAATTTAGCACGTATGAACTATTTTATAATGTTTAGTATTGTTATTCATGGGGACTCTTTGTTGGACATCTTAAAATATTCAATCAGGGAATGCTCCAGGAATGAAGTTATTTCAATTTATCTCATTAACTTCTTAAACTTATTGTAAGGTTTCCATTTGACTCTTTTAATCTTTTTAGAACTTTATCCTTCTATGTTTAGGTGAATTAGGAGCTACTTTAGGACACTAGTGAGAGCATTCCATGACTGTTTTTTAATTAATTAAACCTATTAGTTTTAATTAATTATTGATTTAAATAATTAATTTAATTAATTAGTTTTGAATTAATTAATTTATTAAGACTTTATTTTTTTTAACAGTTTTTTTAATGTTTATTTTTGAGGGAGAGAGAGAGTAAGAGTGGGGAGGAGCAGAAAGAGAAGAAGAGAGAGCATCACAAGCAGGCTCCACACTGCCAGGGCAGAGCCTGACACGGGGTTCGATCCCACCAACCAAGGGATCATGACCTGAGCTGAGATCAAGAATCAGTTGTTTAACCGTTTAACTGACTGAGCCCACCAACCGCCCTTCCACTGTTTTTTTTTTTTTTTAATTTTTAACATTTTATTTATTTTTGCAAGACAGAGAAAGACAGAGTGTGAGCAGGGGAGGGACAGAGAGAGAGAGGGAGACACAGAATCCAAAGCAGGTTCCAGGCTCTGAGCTGTCAGCACAGAGCCTGATGTGGGCCTTGAACTCATGAACCAAGAGATCATGACCCGAGCCGAAGTCAGATACTTAATTGACTGAGCCACCCAGGCGCCCTGCCCTTCCACTGTTTTTAATAATACATGTGAAAATTTCACTTTAGATTGCTTGTAGTTTATTTGACTTGCTTTAAAAATCCTAACTCATGGGGGCGCCTGGGTGGCGCAGTCGGTTAAGCGTCCGACTTCAGCCAGGTCACGATCTCCCGGTCCGTGAGTTCGAGCCCCGCGTCGGGCTCTGGGCTGATGGCTCAGAGCCTGGAGCCTGTTTCCGATTCTGTGTCTCCCTCTCTCTCTGCCCCTCCCCCGTTCATGCTCTGTCTCTCTCTGTCCCAAAAATAAATAAACGTTGAAAAAAAAAAAATCCTAACTCATGCAAACTGGATAAAATCTTGGCAGTAGGGATAATAATTCATAAAAAATAAGTATTAGCTCCCAATAGTCAATGCTGGAAAATTAGTAAATTTGGTCTACATAAGATGTAGGACAAGCTCATCATCTTTAATGGATATCTATATATATGGTTATGAGGGCCTTATCCCCAGGATGTCACTTAACATCTTCATATTTGCCACAGAGAGCACTTTACATATTGTATGGAGACGTATCAACTAGATATAGGGCTCCTAGAGTGGAAAAAAGGAAAAGTTGGGATGCCACAAGCCATTGAGGAATAACTAAACAGTATTTGGGGTTTACTGACTGGCACTTTTTTTGATCTTCAGGAATCATCACCAGCACTTTACAAAATGCAGCCCAGTGAGTAACATCTATTTCTTGGGTTTGGGTTTGTTTCTCAGGTGGTAGGCAGAGGCTTTCCACCTCACCTGTGGCTCAAGGATGCTGGATGTTCTCAGAAAATGTTCTCTTGTAGGCACAGCTGCTTTGTAGCACTCCAAATGTTTTGGACTGTGGCAACAGGAAGAAAGATGCAGTATGTAGCTCACCCACAAATAAAGAAAATGTAAGTGTTAAATGGAAACCCAGATACATTAGTACTTTTCTCCCTGTGAGGGGAGCAACTCATCAGTATCATTATGAGACCCAGAACTGTTATCCCTCAGTATGCAGACAATCAAATTGCTTCACTATAAGGCAAAAAATTATTTATGGTTTGTTTTTTATCTTTAAGATTTGACCCTAGAACAGACACCTAGCTCCATGTCTTCCAGAGCAGATCATCATTATTCCTCATGTTCAGTTGATTGGTTTAAGGGCAAAAATCTCTATTAGTGTAGTTTGGGAATTTAGGGCTGTTTTTTTAAACAGATAATGTATATAAGTTGTTCACATACTCTGTGCATGGCTTCATGTATGGGTTTACTTAATTTCTTCTTATTTCTCCCTTAGTCAAGCTTCTTAGCCCATGTTCTGAGAAAGCCATGGGCCTTTTTGTCTGAGCCTCCGGCCTTCAGTCAGTTCTAAGTTGAAACTGGGCTCGACAGAGCCACCTAATCACCAAGATCGTTCTCTAACTAATCCCTTCAACGAATTCTCTTTTCTTGTTTTTTTTTTTTATGTGTATTTATTTATTTTGAGAGACAGCGCATGTGCGAAAGAGCACAAGTAGGAGAGGAGCAGAGAGGGAGAGAGAGAGAATCCCAAGCAGAGTCCAGCCTCTGCACCAAGCCAGATACAAGGCTCGATCTCATGACCAGGAAGGAGATCATGACCCCAGCCAAAATCAAGAGTTGGACCCTTAACTATACGAGCCACCCAGGTGCCCTGAATTGTGTTTTCTAGCCATCTTTTTCTTTTCCCTGCCCGTCATCCTTTCCCCCAGGTCAGTATCTATAAAAGGTAGCTGCTGTTCTTCTTTTCTCACATTGACTAAGTTATACCCATGCTTTTGGCTGTTTTAATCAGCTTATTCTTGATTTGACACTGTCCTTGTAATCACTTTTTGGAAATCTCACCATCCCCTCCTTACTCAGGCTCCCCTTTTCCTCCCTTCCTTTGGCTTGTGACCATAAATCAGTATCCTCCAAAGCAAATCTACATATCATACATCAAATCCAAACCATAATTTGTATTGTCAGGATATAGGATCAACCTTGATTATACTTAATGTGTTTTGTGAGGGTTATTCATGGCTTCACCTGATGAAATGTTTTTGGCAGGGCTTGCTGACACTTGTCTTCCTCCAGCCAATGTAATTTTTCTTATGCAGAAGAATAACACTTTGAAGTCCTCCGAGTGGTGGGCATCCAGGAGCCTGAAGTTTCAAAAGACACCAGGGGAGCCTTACATGTCTCCCCTTTCTCTACTGGTGAGTCACTGAACATCCTCATCAAGGGTCTGCTGAGGTGTTGTGGATTATAGGATGGCAGATCTGCATTACAACCCTTTCAATTTTTCTAAGCTGGCTTAGGTGAGAAAAGTGGTTGGAGAAGTAACTCTGGGAAAAGTAAGAGACATCCTCTGACGTTTTTATTTGTTAGAAAATTCTTAGGCCTTTAGGGGGCGCCTGGGTGGTTCAGTCGGTTAAGTGGTTAAGCTTCCGAGTTCCGCTTACGTCTTGATTTCACAGTTTGTGAGTTGGACCTCCGCGTCTGGCTCTGTGCTGAAGCTCGGAGCCTGGAGCCTGCTTTGGAATCTGTCTCTGTCTTTCTGCCCCCCCTACTCGCTCTTTGTCTGTCTCTCTCAAATATGAAAACAAAACAAAACAAAGCAAAAAAACATTAAAAAAAATTCTTAGGCCTTTAAAGTTGTTCTATTTTGGGGTCCCCTGGGTGGCTCAGTCAGTTAAGCATCTGACTTCAGCTTAGGTCATGATCTTGTGGTTGGTGAGTTCAAGCCCCTTATTGGGCTCTCTGCTGTCACCACAGAGCCTGCTTTGGATCCTCTGTCTCCTCTCTCTGCCCTTCCCCCCCTTCTCAAAAATAAATAAGTGTTAAAAAAGGTTTTTTGTTAATTTTTTGTATTTTATTATTTATGTGATTCCTCCCACCCTAATTTTAAAAGTACTATGTGCCCTTTGTGAAAATGGTTTAAAAATATAGCAAATATAGGGGTTCCTGGGTGGCTCAGTCAGTTATGTGTCCAACTCTTGATTTCAGCTCAGGTCATGATCTCACGGTTTGTGAGTTCGATATCTGCACCAGACTCTGCTAACAGTACAAAGCTTGCTTGGGATCCTCTCTCTGTTCCTCTTTGCCTTGTGTTCTCTCTCTCTCTCAAAATAAATAAATAAACTTAAAAAAAATATGTATATATATATATATATATATATATATGATAGGGAATATAAAAAAGAAAATAGTTACCTCATAGAGAAAAACTATTAACATTTTACCTCATTTTTTTATAGTCTTTTAACTATGTATATAATTTTAGAGTTGAAGTCATATTAATTACATATGTATAACATTTTTTTAAAGATTCCTTTTTTTTAAGTTTATTTATTTTTGAGAGAGTTGGGGGAGGGGCAGAGTGAGAGGGAGAGGGAGAACCCCAAGATTATCTGACAGTGCAGAACGTGATGCGGGGCTCTATCTGACGAACTGTGAGATTATTACCTGAGCTGATATCAAGAGTCAGGTGCTTAACTGAGCCACACAGGTGCCCCATGTATATAACTTTATATCCTGCTTTTTTAAGATATATTTTTTTAACGTTTATTTATTTTTGAGACAGAGAGAGACAGAGCATGAATGGGGGAGGGGGGGAGAGAGAGAGAGAGAGAGAGGGAGACACAGAATCGGAAGCATGCTCCAGGCTCTGAGCCATCAGCCCAGAGCCCGACGCGGGGCTCGAACTCACGGACCGTGAGATCGTGACCTGAGCTGAAGTCAGACGCTTAACCGACTAAGCCACCCAGGCGCCCCTATATCCTGCTTTTTTAAAGTTAATATTGAAACTTCTAGTAAACATTATTCTTTGCTGGATGCTTTTACCCTAACAAATGGACCACAATTTACATAGTTCCCTATTTTTGGACACTTAGTAGTCCCAATTTTGCTTTTACAAATAATGTTATTATGTAAGGTCTTGAGCATAAATCTTTGCCTACACTTCAAAATTTTTTCTTTAGGATTGGTACCAAGAATTATAACTACCAGGCTAAAGGATATATTTTTAAGATTTGTGATACATATTTCCAGATTCCTTTCAAAAAAAGTTATGAATTTACATAATTCATGAATAATCAATAGCTCTTTTGATAAATGTTTATTTTTTTAACTGCCAGTTAGATTGATAAATGTTTTATGTTAAAAACAATTAGTAGTGATTTCATGTGAATATTAGCTATGCACATTTTGCTAGTAAATGATTGTGCCTTTGTCCATTTAGATACTGGAGTCTTAAGTTACCCAGGCATTCACTTGCTTTTAATAGACAGTGGGTTCAAGATATTCCAGGGATTTTGGGTCTAGTCTGAATTTTAGGGAAAAATCTTTTTAACACAGCACATCCTAAGTAGATTAAGTTGACCGTGTTTCAGATATTTGATTTCTTGGATAAGAGGAAGACTTGGAGCCTGGTAAATTACTGGGTAGTCTTCTTTTTTTTAAAGCTTTATTTATTTTTTTTTTAATGTTTGCTTGTTTGTTTGTTTGTTTTCAGAGAGAGAGCAGGGGAGGGGCAGAGAGATAGGGAGACAGAGAATCCCAAGTAGGTTCTGTGATGCCAGCACAGAGTCTAATGTTGGGCTCAAAGTCATAAACCATGAGATCATGATGTGAGCCAAAATCAAGAGTTGGACACTTAACCAATTGAGCCACCCAGGTGCCCAGGTTGTTTTCACCTTTGACTGTTGCAAATAATGCTGCTATGAACATTGATGTAGAAATATCTGTTCAAATCCTTGCTGTCATTTTTTGAGGGTATATACTCAGAAATGGAATTGGTGGATTATAAGATAATTCTATATTCAATTTGGCGGGAAGCTGCCATACTGTTATCCATGGCAGCTACACCATTTTTCATTCTATTTGGTTTTTTGGTGTTGAGCTATATGAGTTTTTATATATATATTCTGGATATTAATACCTCATCAAATGTATGATTTGTCGATATTTTCTCCCATTTGGTGGGTTGTCTTTTTACTTTCTTGGTGGTATTTTTGATGCACCAAAGTTTTTAATTTTGTTAAGTCCAATTTGTCCATTTTTTCTTTTATTGCCTATGCTTCTGTCATATTCACAAAATCATTGCCAAATCCAATGTCATGAACATTTCCCACTGTTTTCTTGTAAGAGTTTTATAATTCTAGCTTTCAAATCTTTGCTTCATTTTGAGTTAATTTTTGTATATAGTATAACGTAAGGGTTCTGAATAGTTTTTAATATTGTCAATATAATTGACAGGACAATGGAAAGTTGGTGGAAGGAGAAATGAAGTATCTGGGCAGTCCCATTACTACACTTCAAAAATTGGATAAAAATTCAGAACTAGAAGAACACCAGGCTGAGGAGATTTCAAATGAATTGATGGAGTTTTCTCTGGAAGATCAAGAAGAGATCAAGGTAAAATGCTCCCCAGTATCTTTGCATTTTCCATATTCCTTCATTCTTGAATTAACAATGTTGTGTATATACTGGGTTTCAGCCACTTACTAAGTAGTAGGTCTGCAGAAATCAAGAAGACATGATCTCTAAACTCTAAGGGCTACCCGATAGGATATCAGGTAACTATGGGATTCTTATTACTGCTGGGTGAGAAGGTTCCAGTTAGTAGTTTGAGTACCTCACCATCAATGTAACTTGGTGTAAATGATGGCTCCAGGATAATAGTAATGGATGGAACATACCTAGCATGATTTTTCAGGTATTTTACAATATATTCTTTTGTCTTTTATCCTCCTCATGTCAGTGGGAGGCATACCTGAAGCCTGTGGCTTATTGGCCATATACTGAGCCAGTATATTGCTTTCTGCTCCTAAGCAGCTTCCGTACTGTCAGCACAGAGCCTGATGTAGGGCTCAAACCCAGGAACCATAAGGTCATGACCTGAGCTGAAATCAAGAGTTGGAGGAGCGCCTGGGTGGCTCAGTCGGTTAAGCGGCCGACTTTGGCTCAGGTCATGATCTCGCGGTCCGTGAGTTCGAGCCCCGCGTCGGGCTCTGTGCTGACAGCGCAGAGCCTGGAGCCTACTTCAGATTCTGTGTCTCCCTCTCTCTGACCCTCCCCTGTTCATGCTCTGTCTCTCCCTGTCTGAAAAATAAATAAACGTTAAAAAAAAAAAAATTAAAAAAAAAAAGAAATCAAGAGTTGGAAGCTTAACCAACTAAGACACCCAGGTGCTCTATAGCTCTTAAATTTGGGTCTTGGTCCATTTTGATTTAATTTTTGTGTGTAGTGATAGGTAAGGGTCCAATTTCATTCTTTTACATGTGAATATTCAGTTATCCCAGCACCATTTGTTGAAAAGACTGTCTTTTCCTTGTTGAATGGTCTTGGCTCCCTTGTCAAAAATCATTCGACCATATGCATGATGATTTATTTCTGGACTCTATTCCATTCCATTGGTCCATATGTGTATCTTTATAGCAGTACCATAGTTTTGAATACTGTAGCTTTGTAGTAAATCATTTTAAATATTTTTTATTCCACAAATTTTACCTGAATATATTCTTCTTAAAAAAAAAAATAACAGGGGCGCCTGGGTGGCGCAGTCGGTTAAGCGTCCGACTTCAGCCAGGTCACGATCTCCCGGTCCGTGAGTTCGAGCCCCGCGTCAGGCTCTGGGCTGATGGCTCAGAGCCTGGAGCCTGTTTCCGATTCTGTGTCTCCCTCTCTCTCTGCCCCTCCCCCGTTCATGCTCTGTCTCTCTCTGTCCCAAAAATAAATAAACGTTGAAAAAAAAATAATAACAACAACCTGTAATAGCTGAGGCTAACCCTATCTGATCACTATTGAAGAGCAACTTTGAGATTATCTGAGATTATCTGGGATTATAGGGAAAAGTCAAGAGTGTGGGAGTTAGTGGAACATATTGGTCTAGAAAGTAACAGACTTTGGATCCAGACTTTCTGGGTTCCATAGCTTGATTCTTTAACAATATGGATACAGTTGTATGATTTCCCTATGCTTTAGTTTCTTAATCTATAAAAAAGAAAAAGTTTGGGTAACTATTTCATCGGGTTGTTGTGATGATTAAATGAGTTAATTGTACATAAAGCAGTTAGAACAATACTTGCTCAATTACTAATGTTAATTATTGTAGTGTAGTATGAGTGCTTAATTACTATAGTGTAAGGGCCAAAATATGTGGAATTATAAAGATTGATGGAGAAGGGATGCTCAATAGCCTTGATGTCCTAAGTGAAGTGAAAGTTGCAGTAATCTCATGACTCAGTGGTGAGTGTTACGTGACAGTCATGAAGAATTTAGAGAAGGTTATAAGCAACTTTCGGAAACCACAGAAGGGAATTATTAAAAGGCTAATAAAATGATATTTGTGCTGTTTTATATGATAGACCTACATGGCATAGTGTGCTGTTGCCTAGAAGCAAGATTGGGGACTTTGGAACTCCAGAGATGATTAAGAGAGGGCTGTAGGGTGCTAATGGCAGATGAAAAAGGGGTTGAGTTAGTCTAGGTGATGGTGAAGGTAGCAGAGAAGTAGAAGATGATGAATCAAAACCTGGATAAGGAGCCAAATGTCTCGCTGAGTAGACTCAGTAAAGTAAAAACAGTAATGTGGTTGAAAGTTGCTGAGGAGCAAGAAATGCCTAGTTTAGAAAGCTTTGAGAACTAGGGGAAAGTTTAGTCAGTTTGAGAGCATGCCAAGTTTGAATTCTTGATAGTAGAGTAATAGAGGATAGTTGCAGATCTTTTTCTTTTTGTTTTGTCTTTTTTTTTTTTTTTTTTTTGGTCCCTCTTTGTCAAGAGGCTAATGTGGAGTGCAGGAGAAGCTTGGTGCAACTATTGAGGAGTTGTGAAGTCACTGTCCAAAGGGTTTTCAGTTTTCAGAACACTGTGAGTTTGAGGAGAGAAGAAATAGGGATTTTAGTGTTGTTGGTGTAACAGACTAGACTGGAAAAGAAAAATGAGAGCCAGGTAATAATAGTAGGTCCCATTTATTGACTACTTAGAGTGTACTGGGCATTGTGTGCTGAACAGTTTATATCCGTCATTGCATTTAATTTTCATGTCAGTCCTGAAATATGAGTGTGATGCCCCTTTATTTTCTTTCTTCTCTCCCTTTTGTTCTTTCTTTAGTCTTATCTTAGGAGGAGAACATCTGGCCATGGGATAAAGGCTCTTACCCAAGGTCACAAAATTAGCCATTGGCAGTGTCAGGATTTAAGGTGAGATCTGCCTGACTCCTAGCTGGTGTTTCTAGCAGTATTTGGTGTCTTTTATGAAGATACCTGGAAGGTGAAAGTTGTCCCAGGAACATGTAGTAATGACATTTGCTTTTTGAGTAGGGTTGGTGAGGTTGAATAGTCACAGTTTGAATGAATTGAAGTGTTCAGGAGGATGGTGAATCAATTTTCTAGAACACTGCTGTTCTGTAAAACTTCCTGAGATGATGGAAATGCTTTATATCTGTCCAATACAGTAGCCCTATGTGCGTTTTGAGCACTTAAAATGTGGCTAGTGCAACTGAGACACTGAATTTTTAATTTTGTTGAGTTTTAAAAAAAAATTTTTTTTAAATGTTTATTTTTGAGGGAGACAGAGACAGAATGTGAGTAGGTTAGGGGCAGAGAGAGAGGAAGACACAGAATCCGAAGCAGGCTGTAGGCTCCGAGCTGTCATCACAGAGCCCCACGCGGGACCCTAACTCACGAACTGCGAGATCATGACCTGAGCTGAAGTCAGACACTTAACCGATCAAGCCACCCAGGTGCCCCATAATTTTGTTGAGTTTTAATTAATGCAGACAACCATGTGTGGCTAGTGTTACTATAATGGGTAGTGCAGATCTAGAATCTTCTAAACATATGGTCCCTGGAGCAGTAGCATCAGTGTCAGGTAGGAATTTCTTAGCAGTGCAAATTTTGGGGCCCTATCCCAGAAACTTTGAATCAAAAAACTGTAAGTGTGGGGCCCAGTAGTCTGTTTTAACAAAGCTTCCAAGCGAATGTCATTGGTTTCTAGGAAAACAGCAGAACCAAGATATGATCTGAAGGAGATAGGGTGGGTATTGAGAGAATTGATGTTGACCTTCCTGAAACAAACATTATTGAGGGCTAACTGGTAATGGAGGGTAGATCTGTGGAAAAACAGCAAGTTTAGGCATAGTTAGCATGGGGAAAGGTTCCTAGGCCTTCTGGAGAAAAACAAAGAGCAATATAGAGTGAACATTTATTGGTGTTCTTAGAAATATATATTAGTCTTCATGTTTGCAAAATGTAGCTAAAATAGTCAAGTCTCAACTAGTATTAGCTTAGGGAATTAAATTTAATGTTGATTAAAGAGAAAATTTTTTGTTTTCAATTTTATTGTTGAAAATTTATCTAATGTGTTTAATCTGCTTTTATGAAATAAGTACAATGAACATAATGGAAATTTTTCTTGTCTTTGAAACATCATTGTGAATTGTATAATATAGACAGTATGGAAGAATGGATTTAAAATAGATGGACCCTAGGAAATACTCTAGAGAGTATGTTTATTTACATGGAAGAGTAGCATATGGCTGTGAGATATTTATTTTGTCTTTAAAAAATAATAATTCCCTTTAAGTGCTCATTTTAATGTATTGTGACTCATATAACATTTTCAGTTGAGGGCACATTATATAAGAATATGCATAGCAGTAGGTTTTAGAATAGAAAAGGCATAGGGATGTTTGTTTGGGGTTTACATTCTTGATGCTAAATGGAAATAGATACCTGATAGAATAAGGAGATTTGTGTAACCTCAGTGATTTTTGATTAATTCATTTAAAAAATATTTATTGAGTACCTATTAAGTGTCAGATACCATGTTAGTCACTGGTGATACAATAATAAACAATACATACTAGGTTTATGGTCTCTTGGAGTTCGTATTCTTGTCAAAGGGATATCAACAACAACAAACACATGTTTGTCAGGGTAATGCATGTTCTAGTTAGAATTCTTGGCTGCAATTAAAAGAAACTGATTACTACTTACCTTAGGCAGAAAAGGGATTTTTCTGGAGGGTATTGAGGAGCTCAGAATTGCTAGGAAGGCTGGAAAACAAGGTAAGGCTTGGCTACAGTGCTGCTCTGGGGTCATTGTTCTCAGGACATTACCACCAGCTGCCTGGACACTTAATGTCACCATTACTGAACCCCCTGCCCCATGATGTAATCCCACCTGATGCTGGACTCTTGCTCAGGGACATTTGCTGCCACCCACTATATTCTCAACTGTGATGCTGCAACCATAAAAAAAAGTCTCAACAAACCCTTTGCTTTTTTTGTGTTATTCCCCAAGTTTCAAAATGCAGTCAGGAATATCCGGTTGACTATAAAAGAATGGAAAAAGGAATACCTGTCCCCCTTCGGCCTTCTTATCAGGATGCAGGACTGCCTCCCATCTAATTTG